AGTGCTTTCTCCAGGGGATTAGAGACCTGTCAGGAATTCCCTGGGTGTACCCCCCACCTTAGCTTGGGCTGCCTGAGACATCAGAGCACCAACAAGTGCCTCTGCCCCACGATTCAGAGACTAGGTCATAGTTCTTCCTCATCCCATCTCTGCATCAGGGATTCAGACTCTTCCTCCCCCTTGCTAAGAGGTTTATCGTCTTTCCAAAGCCATTAAAAGCTTCCCTGCTGGCAGAAGTTCAGGTCCTTGCCTGGGATTCCCCTGAGAGTCAGAGGACTCTGCACTAATCCCAGCTGTACTACGGGGTGCCACCATAATCCTGGTCAAGTCTTTGCATCTTCTTTGCCTGGAACCTGAGCCAGGGCAATATTTCTATTTTATAAAGTGCCTTGAGACCTGCAGAGATCTGCAGAGACCTGCAGAGACCTCCCCTCTGTGTCCCAGGCTGTGGCACTGGGACTGTGGTGCCTCTGATGGGTCTGAGAACCAACGACCCGTGAGATGCCATCCCAGAATGGTTCCTGTGAGGAAAGGTTTCAGTGCCCTTTTGAACACAACATCCATGATTCCAAGGCCTTGGTGGAATGCAGATTGAAGGATTCAGAGGTGACAAACCCAACCCAGTGGCATGAATTCAGTTTTGGCCCATAGCAGCTGCTTCTCCAGAAAATGCAATTAAATCTAGTGCTGAAAGCTAATAAAAACCCCGGTCTTGGAGGTGTTTCTTCACAGACTTCGGGAGTTTCAGTCTGGAACATTCCCTAAGGCCAGATCTATACTGTTCCCTGCAAATACCACTTTTTTTTTTTTTTATGACCTCAATAATTCTAAGTTATTTCTCTAGCCATATCCATTAATGTTAAGTCTATTTTCCAAAATCGTACCATAAACCTTGGCCTCAGGTGCATCTTGCAGCAGAGTTCTATAGGTTGCATGGAGGATTGCTGGAATTAGAGAGCTGCTTTCCATGTAAAATACTGGAACTGGGGGAACAAAATTGAAAATGTATTTTTGGACATTAAGCAGGAAGCTTAACACGACCATATCATTTGCTTGACCACTGAGGCTGGACCAGATGACCCCACTGGTGGTTCCTTCCAAACTTCACCCTCCTGTGATTCAAATCCCAACAAATCAATGGCACATGAAAAAAGAACACAGCCAAATATTGCACAAAACCTGTAAAAAAAGCTTGAAAAATCTCACTAAGTAAGTTCAAATAACGCATAAATTAGAGGGAATTGCAACTGGTTCACGGATATTCTATGAGCAGAAGATAAACATCTAAGTTAGTTGCATAAATTATTCATCACAACATATTTGTTCAGCTTTTCTCATCAGCTGAGAAAGCCACACATCCCAAGCATATGGAGAGTATAACAGAACTGGGCTTTCACCTCACTGCTGTCCCTGGGAGCAGGAAGCCCAGGGGAGGGATGGCATGAATGAGAACTGAGTGGGAAAAGTCTCCCTCACTGCTGTGCTTTAGGTGTGGATTCTCCTCAGGGCTCACTGAGGGCACGAATAGGAACTGGAATTACCCCTTGGCAGCAGAAAAGGTTGAAGATGTGACAGTGATTTCTTTTAAACTCCTGCTTTTGCCTGCTGTCTGTGGTGTCATGAGGTGATGTTGGACCTGATGCACAAAATGAACCCACTTTCCCTCTGAACACGTTGTTTGCAGAATTTTCATTCTCCTTTTCTACCTTCTCCCACCTTCATTGTTCATTCCTTTCCTATCTGTGGTCCCAGTTTGCAAAGTCTATCCTCACACTTTGAGGAAGACACTAATAGGATCTGGGAGTTGATATATCATAGAATCCTAGAATGATTTGGCTTGGAAGGCACCCTAAAGGTCATCTTGTTCCACTCCCTGCCAAGGGCAGGGACACCTTCCACAATCCCAGGTTTCTCCAAGCCATGTCCAACCTGGCCTTGGACACTTCCAGGGATGGGGCAGCCACAGCTTCTCTGAAGAATCTTATCAGTTGCCTATTTCAACTTCCGTGACCTTTGCTGTTAAATTACCTATTCCAAAGCAACAAAACCAAACTCTCTGTACTTTATTGAGGAACATGAAGCATTTATCCAGCCCTTTCTGAAAGCATTTATCCAGCTCTTTCTGGCTCTGGAGTTCTCTGGTGCCTCCTGACTTTATTGATGCTGCAGGAAGCAGAAATCTGAGAGCAAACATGTGCTTGAGTTTTACAGGAAGCAATAATCCCCTCTTTGGAGAGGAAGCACAGATGGCATTTTTCCTCTGGTTATGATCTTTATGATGGGAACACGGGCATCTCTATTTATTGTAAAACTTTGCCTGTCTTTTAGTATCCAGCTCTGCCTCTTCTCATGCAGTGCAACTGCTGGAGGGACAGTTCCTTCTTCAAAGGGGATTTCTTTGTGTAGTGAGCTCTGGGGTTGCAACTCTAGTCTAGAATGATTAGAGCAACATCTCTGTAGTGACAGAGAGGAACTATTTGTCTTTACATTTAAGGTTTTATCTATTATTAAAATCAACTGTGAGACCTGCAGGTACTGGACTTTTACACAATTCTGAGACAGCAGGGAAAACACTCTTCTCTATACAGGGAATATATGGACATTTGTTGTATATTTGTTATCTGCAGACAACTTGGGAGACAATGGCCTGGTTCTGTCACTCCTGGTATTAATACCCTGGTGTATCAGGTTTATTTTGGGTTGAGTTTGGGGGTTTTTTTGCCTTTTGACCAAGATTTCTCTAGGAAAGATGGACGTTTCTGTGGATTTCAAGGTTTGGCACTAATGACTCATAATACAGCAAGAGGTGTGTTTTGTTTTGGCATTTTGACTTGGCTTGTGGAAGCCTGGGAGCTACAGAGAGGGTATTAGCTCAGGTGTAAGGAGTATTTTGAAGTAAATAGCTGGCACTTTGCTGTTTTAATGGATACAACTGCTGTCAGGCAGCATGGGGTGTTGTGATGGGGCTCAATCAAAATAAATACATGTACAATTTCATTAAGTCAAATAACCTCACACACATAGGGTGGACTGGCTGTAGAATCAACCTGGGGGAAAAAAAAAAAAGATCTAATTTGTGATCCTGGCTTTGCAACTAACCCTCCCAAATCTGCCTGCATGTGGGGTGCTCTGCCAGCCAAGTGGGACTGTCATACAGGTTGACACACATTGATAGGAAGTGCTGTGTCAGTGCCAGGTGTTGTCATTCCTGTTGTGCTGGTTTTGACTGGCTATTATGGATTATTGCATAATAAAGCAATATTTCGACCCCAGGATCCTGCTGGGAATGCCAATCCGGACTGAAGGTTTTCAATTAGTCTTTTATTAGTTCTTAGGTTACATCTGGAGCTGGGTCCCTCCAGAGAGGGACCCCTCCCCCAACTCATACCTGTATCACCATCACCCAATCCTCAAGTCTGAACCCAAGTCCAGTCACTTAATTCTGATTGGTTGCTTCTTGACTTCTTATGGTTTTTCTCTGTCACTGGGCTGGCCTTCTTCTGAAGTTACTTCATTCTCTTGGAATTGTCTCCTTGGAATTATCTTCCTTCCACTCCTGTCTGCTAAATTCAGCTAGTTCCTTGTTAGCAGCAATAATTTTCCCAAAGAAGTTTACTCCTGGTCAGGCAAAAGCTTCAGCTGCTTTGGCTGCTAATGCTGAGCCCCCAGTGCTAATGCCCCTAATGCTAGAATTATTATAGATATAGTTCTTTAGTATTTTTTATTTTACTAGTAATAAATGTTCATATTATTTTCCCCAAATCAAGTCTCTTTTGTCTGCATAAACCTTCTCTCAACTAATAGTAATTGTGTGGGGGGTGTGAAAACAAATTGACCCAGAGCAAAACCACGACACCAACCCTTTCCCCAATCCAGCACAGAGCAGTGAACAAGCAGCTCTGTGGGGCTGAAGTGTCAGTTGGGGTTAAACCACAACGCCCTTAATCTAAATAAAATTTTTGTCTTAAACCCAAGTTGCAGGACTAAGTGAATGAAAAGTGGTAGAGAAGCTTGTGCGTTGATGATCTGGGAGGTAGCTGAAGATAAAACAGGTGCATTGTAGGGGAGTGGGTATAAATAATATCCTTTGCTTTTAAGAAGGCCTTGCTCGATATTTTTGAAGGACATTAATAGGTTTCTCATTTTTCAGGTGCTCAGCTGGTGATGTGTTTGAGAGGCCTGATTTTTAGATTGCAGGTGTGCAAGCTTTTCTCCAGGCGTTTCTTTTCCCTCTGTGTCGTTTCAAAATGGATACCTGCAATAAAGAGCTGCTTTTGCAAACATTAACTTTATATTTTTTTTCCCCCCAGTTGCTCTCAGTTTAAAAGCATGGATTTGAGAATCACTTTATTTGGTTGGGTTTTTTTTAAAGAAAAACAAACAAACCCTCCGCTTTCATCCCGGCCTCTGTTTATATCTGAATCGATCCTTTTACGTGGTTTATCTCAAAAATTGGTTTTCAAAATGATCTTTTGCTGTACTCCTGGTGCTGAAAGATTAAGATATTTGGAGAAAATGTGTTTCCTTCAGCTCTGCTTTGCAAAAGGAAGGCTTGTGGGCAACAGGGATATAACAATGATCAGATTGGGCGAGATCTGTGTTCCAACTGACCAGCCCTTCTGCTGACAGAGACCAGAATTTGCTGCTTTATGGAGAAGATTAAGACCCCAAAGTGTGTGATGGTGAAAGGACCAACCTGATTTTGTTGTAGGGAAATCCAACTCTCTTCCAGACACCTCTGGAGACTCCAAGGCCACCTCCTCATCAGCCCACACCCTGATCCTCCAAGTGTGTTGTTATTGTGCAGTAATGTCTCACTTTTCCTCTTCTCCTCCCCCTTTCACCCTGTCTAACCCTGTGGCCTCACGTGTGTGTATCCATGTGGGGGTGTCCGACAGGATTGTCCCCTTTCTCCACCCTCCTTCCCTGCCCTGGGTGGCTCTCCCTGCCCCTCCAGACTGGAATCCTCACCCCTGCTGTGTTCCTGTGTTGTCACACAGGGAGTTTGCCCGTTGGAAGGTGAGGAACACAGCCATCGAGAGGAGGGACCTGCTCCACAACCCACTGCCCCTCATGCCTGAGTTTCAGAGGAGCATCCGCCTCCTGGGCAGGAGACCCACCACGCAGCAGTTCATTGATACCATCATCAAAAAGTACGGCACCCACATCCTCATCTCTGCCACCCTGGGAGGTAGGTGGCAACCTGGGCTGTTTTCTGCTGTGGGGGGTGATGGTGGTGGGGTGGGGAAGGCACTGGGCAGCCCTGCAAATGTGTCCAGTTTTGGGGCTCCCCAGTGAAAGAGAGACTCGGAGCTCCCGGAACAAGTCCAGGAGAGGCTGCGAAGATGAGGAAGGGATTGGAACATCTCTCTTACAAGGAAAGGCTGAGAAAGCTGGGCCTGTTCAGCCTTGAGAAGAGACACTGAGGGGGGACCACGCCCATGTCTGTCAGTGTCTGCAGGGAGGGGGCAGAGGATGGACCACTCTCTGCTCAGGACAGGAACTGATGCCCAGGAAGTTCCACCTGAACATGAGGAAGAGTTTCTTTGCTGTGCAGTGACCCAGCATAGAACAGGCTGCCCAGAGAGGGTGTGGAGTCTTCCTCCCTGGAGATACTCCAAGAACCATCTGGACACAGTCCTGTGCCATGTGCTCTGGGTTGGTCCTGCTTGGGAGGGAGGTTGGACCAGACGACCCCACTGTGGTCCCTTCCAACCTGATCCACTCTGCAATTCCAAAACCGTGGCCATGCCGTGTGGGAGCTGGCTGGGGGCACAGGGCCAGGCTGCAGCTCGTTGTCAGACACTGTGGAAGTCCCCAGAGTATGAAAGAATTCACAGCACAAGGTGTGAGTTCAGCACCTGTGCTGTGTGTGTACCTGTGCCCCTCTGACAGCAGCGTGTGTGTGCCCGTGTGTGCCAGCAGAAACACGTGCCACTCAGCCCAGGAGCCTGGCTGTCAGCCCCCTGCCACTGTCCTTACCTTGACAGCAGAGTGTGTTGATCCCTCTTTTTCACAGAAAATTAAACCAAACACAAGGGGAAAAACATCCTTTCTTGCTGGAACTGGAGGAATTTTAAAGAGCTCCAGGAAAAGGGAGGTCAAGGAGTTGGGCAGAGAGAGTGTGCAGAGAGGAAGAGATGGCCAAGAAGGCCTGTGCTGGATGCACAAATAACATTAAGTGGGCTTTTGAAAAAGCAGCAGTTAAGTAAAATTCAAAATGTATATGGAAGGGCTGCAGAGAGGTCTGTGTGTGCACACAGAATATGTCAGTGATGACATCAGAGAGAGCACTGTAGGGCCATGAACCCCTGAGCAGGCACTGCTGGGGCTGCTGCATAAACATTCTGAGTGATGCGTATTGAACACGGGAGGGGCGAAAATCAGCCGTTCCTACTGATATTTACTGCTGATTTTTTTTCCCCTCTCCTTTATTATTTCCACTATCCTTTTACCCTCTTGGGTTTTGCCTTTCTTTCATTCGAGTGCCTTTCTTCTGAGAACTACTCTCTGTGAGCAGGATTCTGCAGTGGTAAAGGCTCTTAATTTTAGCACAGAGTGTGTTTTGTTGCTTTTTCTAATGTACCTCACCTCCAGCCTTGCCACATTGCGAAGCTTGTGGTGAACTTTGAGGAATTTCTGGCCATCTGTCTGTTCCCAAAGCACTCTGCAGACACTGGGATGAGACAGAGATGAGATTAGATGTGTGCATATGATTCATGCACAAATTAGGTGGTAGGTAAGTTGGCTCAGTTCCACTGAAGTCAAATGGCCTCCGGTGTGGCAACGTCCTTCAAAGATCCTCGGGCTGCTCTTCCAGTCCAGGCACTCAAACAGTCCGTTCCATCAGCAAGAAATGTGGGAGGAAGCAGGCTTCCAAGCACTGAAGAGTACAAGTGACTGCCTGCATCAGGCCTTAATGAAGTCTGTGTAAAGATAAACTGCTTTTTATTGAGGAAATCGCTTTTGAGGCCCATGTTTTACAGAGCCCAAGACAGCCAAGTAAAGTGAGAGATTTTTCTTTTCTGGGTTTACTGTTCTTTCCATTGACTTGCCTCTTTCTTTCTGCCACTCACATCCATGTAAATTCGAAATAAGAAAGACCTTTGATGGTAAAATATATTTTTAATTTTGCCTGGGTGACGTTGTTAATTATTCACAGGGTCTTGTTTCTGCTCCTGATTTTACAACACAACTATCTTAAATATGCAGAGACTTGTAAGGAGAACTGGTGTTGGAGGGGAGAGCTAAATGCTCCACCAGCCCAGAGCGTGGTGAGCAATGTTAGGGGAGAAAAGAAGGATTCACCTTGGCAATGGCAGTCCCAGGGTAGATGCAGATGAAGCTGGGCATGCATTATGCACAGAGGACACACTCTGATCACAGTCTGTGGGCTGAACAAGACCACTGGGATATAAAACCAGACGTGTCCTGGCACACTTGCTCTCCCAAGACCTCGGGTCTCCTCAGAAAAGTTTCGGGCGTTCTGCCCTGGGTTACAGTTGTTTCTAACCCCCTCCTGATCTCTTATTATGTTGCAAACGAGTGACAAACACACGGGGAATTGTTTGCCTTTCCAACGCCAGCTGTTGCAGGGCCCTCGGGAGGGGAGTGATGGCTCAGCCTGGCCCCCCTGAACACAGCAGCTCTTTTCACACCTGGCCACATGAGGAACTGCTCTGCTGCCTTTCAACCCACCGAGCAGCCCCGTCCCCCCAGAGCCCGGCAAAAAAATACCCAGCTCTGCTCCCCTTCAGTTCTGACAACGGCATTGCTGAAGGGTCACTTTGAGGGCGCCCCTGCTCTGGGATGGAGCACACAGAGCCAATTTGCAGGGAAAGCCCTAAAGGAAAAGCAACTTTGAACACGGCACCCGCTTAATAAAAGAGAAATTAAGACTTAATAACGCAGGAAAAGTCTGTTAACCTCTCTTGATCGAAGAGTTGCTTTCCCATGTGCCCCCTCCGTGGGGATGCTGTGCTTTTCCAGGGCTGCACTCAGCCACATGGAAGAGGCTTCCAGCAGCAGTGTTTCTGCTCAGCACCCTTCACTCCCAGGGATTGTATTCATCCCTCAGGAAAAAACGTAGCTCATGGGCTTTATTCTTCTGTTTTCTTCCTCAGGGAGGAAAAAAATGACAGCTTTTTTGGGGAAATGACTGATCCTCACTGCCCTAGAGCAGAGGATTCTCTTCTCTGTTGAGTTTCTCAGTGCTTGATTTGTGTTGTCCAGGGACCAAAGCTAGTGGTGGATCTCCTGGTGATGTGGGACTTGTGCTGCTGCCTGACGTGATCCCACTCGGGCTTCCTGCCTGTTCTCCAGCCTCAGCATTCCTCTAGTGAAAATGGACTAGTCTGGAATGAAAAGGTCCTGATTTTTGTGCCTTGGCTAGTTAATAAAGGCATACTTTTATCCAGAAAAAGCTGTTTTTTCCAGTTACTGGTGGAATCAATGAAGAGTTGGTGGCTGGATCCAGCAAGTTCCTCTGAGAATCACAGCTAAGGGGAGAATTATTCCAGGCTTCCCTTCTCCTGTCACAGCCTCACAAAACAGTGGCAAAGCATCATTTCTGTCTGCTGCATCTCCATGCAGTTAAACACTTCTGTTACATGAAAGATACAAAACTTTTAGCTCAAAATACACTTTCACACTGACCCAGCCCCTTGGCCAACTCCCACGCAGTGTCCTTTTGGTGGCAAAGGGGTTACTCATGAAAACTGACCAAACAAAACTTCAAATACCCCCGAGAAACTCACCCAGAAGTTGAAACCTGAGCATGCCTTGAAGGCATCAGGCACCTGGGGTGCAGTGAGGGCTGTTCCTCACACTGATCACAACCAGCTCATTACCTGGGCTTTGCTGTCTTCACCTGTCGTGCCTCATCAGAAAGAGGGGTTTAAATTCTCTGGAATATGGACTGTGTTTCTGTTTGTGTGGATAGAGGCTGATGTGGCAGAGCCTTGATTGCTGCCAAGGTCTCCTCATGTGCTCAACATATAATAACGTTAATGGCAGTAAAGGAAATCAAAGCTGGTCATTTTTCCAGGGAAAGTGTTTTTGTGAGCAGCAACAATGATGATACTGTCACTACCACGACTTTGATCATGCTCAATGGATAGTCTGTTATTCTTAACAAAAATATTAAAGAGAAAGTTTTACATGCTAAACTTCTCCACTTAGCTGCTGTGAGCCCAATTAAAAGATTAAAACTGATCAATTCTTTTGATGAAAAGTACCTTCTTTCCACCAAAAAAATGTCCATTTTTCATCTCAAAGCCAGAGGCTGAATCCTCAACATAACTATTGCTTGAAAAAACTGAAATCTAACAAAAATATTTTGATTTTCAGCCAGAATATTTTTGGTTTGTTTTCAGGCATTTGGCTTCCAGATAAAAGCTGGACAATTTCCAGGGAAAGTGAGGGGGAGGGCTTAGTGGGGTTGTTGGGTTTTTTTCATGTATGCAATAAAAGAAATAATTTGGAAGAATCAAATAATTTCAACTAATAAGAATTTTAAAGAAAAGTAAGTCCTCGTTCTCTTAAAAAAATATGCAAAGATGATGAAGAGCAAAATATTTCTTGGCCTTAGAAATGGTAGTACATTTTTTTTGACCATTCTATAATTGCCAGAGGCAGTGTATTCATCAGTGCTTCATCTATCAAATCAGAACAAGCACCGTTCTTCTTCTTAAGAGAGTTATGTAGAAATGGCACATTCCTACCATAGTTGTCTCTGCATTTATTAAAATCAGAGCTTCACATGTCAAGGGTGCAGGATGGCATTTCACCTTTTTAGTCCTCTTTTAGTGTCAGCCTTATGTTAAGAATGAACTGGATTTTAATCTGTCTTGTCCAGCACAAATCAAACTTTTAGGTAAATATTACTCCTCAGCTTCATGTACTTTTCAGATGTATTTTGTTACGTTCAGGTTTCTGCTGACTTTTATCAGCTCTTAACTGCTTCACTCCCAGATTCCCTGTGGTTACTGATACAAAATCATCTGTTGTCCCTTACCTTGTACAATATTTTTCACTCTCCACTTAAATTACCTGAATGAGACTCTGGGGAAGAAGGCAGGAAGGTTGGTTAGTTTAAATTAAGTTTCTTGTTTGCTCTTTCCTCTGATTGCTCCCCTTCACTCATCCCCTTTCTTTTCCCTTTTTGCATCATCTTTGGAAGCTGAAGAGGCACAACTAGCATTTGTTTGTCCTCTGTACCCACCTACACAACTACCTCCTATTTCCAATCATCATTTATTCCTTCTAAAAATCAGCTCAGAGACTTGTATGAAAGTGTCATCTTCCCCTGTCAGGAGCATCATTCTAGAGGCACCACACACAGAGAAAATGTTCCTCGAGTGGGATAAATGGTCTGAAACCTCTCCAGCACTTGTTGTAAAGCTCTGCTGGCTAATAAATGCCCAAAATGTTCACTACTGAATTCAGTGGAGCTGATCTACAGATGTGGTGGACCTGGGCTTTCTGTCTGAATAGAGCAGGCTCACACGCATCACACCGGGGTTCTGGTGCTGCTGAGGAAGGGCGGGTTCCTTCAGGAGCGCTTTTGGTGTCGGACATTTCTTTCTTTAGGTGCAGCAGATGACAACCATTTGCTCCTGTTGAGATGACCCTGCCTGGCAGCCTGAAATCTCCTTTTCTTTCTGCTGCAGGAGAGGAGGCCTTGACCATGTACATGGACAAAAGCCGCCTCGACAGGAAGTCAGGGAACGCCACGCAGAGCGTTGAAGCCTTGCACCAGCTCGCCTCCTCCTACTTTGTGGACCGTGATGGCACCATGAGGAGACTCCATGAGATCCAGATCTCTACCGGAGCAATCAAGGTACTCTATCTTGCCCCGGGAAGAGAGGGATGGTGTGCCCACACTGACACTGCAGGGATTTGGGGCAGGGCTTTGCCAGCCCACTGCGGTGTCCTTTTTGATCGTGGGTTGTTTTGTTCCCAGGGTAAATTTTTCTCTGATGGACCTTGCTGAAGAATTGATTTCCCCAAGGCCAGTAATATGTCCAGTAATATCCAGGGAGAGGTGGGCATTCAGTGTGATGGTTATGTAGGATAGGAGACCTCTACTAAACATGACAGTGACTTCTGGAAGGGAGAGAGGGAGCAGAGAACCCAGACCAGTGATGGAGGCTGGAAGGGAAAGGCAGGTCTGTGAAATGAACAACCCTGTGCAACCCAGAAGTATTTTTCTACTGTGGGTGTAAGACTGCTAAACATCTTTCAGCTGAATTTACTACAAGGAAAGGTGAAAAACTGTGTGGCATTACTGAGGCATCTGGAATGAAACGGACTGAGAGACAGCTTGGGGGTTGCAGCAGGAAGGAAGGGAAGCTGCTCTGAGAATACAAAATAGGGAAAATGGCTCTGCAGACAAAGGCTGCCTCCTCTGAAAGCAATCATCCTACACTGGGCAGGGATTTTATTGTTGCAGAGTTCACTCCAGGGAAGGTGATGTGGATGGAGTCGTCATTGTTAGCCATTTCTGAAAGGTTTCAGCTCTCGTTATTGTTCTGTGGTGTCTCATGGCTGAGCCTGTTCCTTTCTGGATGGGAAATTGTATTGAGATATTGAAACAGTGACAGCAGATAATCACCCATGGTGAATTCCGGAAGGGCAGCTCTCCTCCATGGCTGGAAACCAACAGCAACAGCACTGCAGGTCATCTGTGCCTCCATCTCTCCTCAGAACAAGGATGGTGGTCACATATGGGAGCACCAGGCACCACTGGGAGCTGGCAATCCATCTCTGTTTCTGTCTTCCCAATAAGAGAAGCCAGGGAATAATTCCTCTACTGGCTTCTGATGTTCTCCAGTGGAGATACTCTATGAGAAACATCAATCTGCAGGATCCCTTTGCCAAGCCCAGAGTAACAAGCAGTACCACAAAGAAAGCAGGCAAAACTCCTTCTACTTTTCCAGCTTGTGAGTGCACCAAACATTAGCTGTGTCTGTCCAGGGTGGGGCATTTTTCTCCAATTAGGAGAGATGTGTTTTGGGCTGTATCAGCTGGTGACAAGGAGTCTTTGTACTGCAAGGGCTGGAGAAGCCTGGGGAAGGTGTGGTGCTGCAGTCAAAGGGACCACTCTCTCTTTTCTGCATCCTCTGTAGGTAACAGAAACTCGGACCGGCCCCCTGGGCTGTAACAGCTACGACAATCTGGACTCTGTGAGTTCTGTCCTTCTGCAAAGCACTGAAAGCAAACTCCACCTGCAAGGTAGGGCACAGGCACGAGGGACGTGGCAACACAGGGCGTGGAGTGGGGGGCTGAAACGAGCCAGGGGTGCCTTTCTTCCCAGCCTTTTCCCCTTCTCTGTTTGCTGTGGTTCTCCCTCAGCTGTAAGTTCCCTGGAGCAGGACTGGTGGCTTCTGGAGGCTTCACAGGAAGCTCAGAAGAGCAGATCCAGAGCTTGAGCCAAAGGGACCCCAGTGAAGTATCTGGGTGTCCCTGCCATGGAATTTTGATGGACTTCTACATATTATACATACACTAATATTAAAAATAATAATATAAAAAAAGTGACCTTTTCCATCAATATTGAAGGAGTTCATGTCTCTTTGTCCCTCCCAAATTGCTGATTTGGGTAAGAGCTTTGCAGATCAGCTTTTGGGACTTTTTAATGACTGCAATCTTTGGGAAAAGTCACTGAGGTTTTATTTGGATGCTAGAAGCCATGGCTTCAGTCCCAGCTGGGGAGCTAGTCCAAAAGTCAACAGATAGAGGTCATGACTGAATTAATAAATAAATACATGCTGGTTAGCAAGAAGTCAGCTTCAGTAGAAGGAGGAAATTCACTGGGCGTGTAATTTATGAAGGTTATTCCCAAATTTTTGACAAAATAAGGAAATGTGGGATTTAATTGCTCACTTGCCCAGATGTTTTTTTTTTCTGGAATCCTTGTACTTGCACAAATTTTAATTTTTCAGATGAATGGGCTACATTACATCTTCCGCTTTGAGTATAATTTGGCAAGTGCTGTTTTAATCTTTGGTTTCACAGAAACTGGGTTTCATTTACCGAGTAATGTTGTGGATATATTATTATTGTTGTTATTATTTGCCTTTAAAAATAATAGGCAGGTTGTTTTCTCTATACCAGTGATTATCCAAACCACTGAGTTCTGGTTCTTACCTAATTAACAATAAGCAATTTGAGAGGTTTTGTGTACTCTGATGGTGGCTGCTGGTAATGAAAACCCAAGGATGACACATCAGATAACTGGGTAAACAGCTAAATCAGCAGGCAGCTCGGGTTATAGGCAGAGAAGCAGGTAAATCAATAGACCTCTATTGGCTATCTGATCCTACAGGAGAGGACATAAACCAAGGGAGGGGGAAGGAGGTGGAGGAAGAGGGAAAAATTAGGAGAGAGAGAGGATGTAAGGCAGATGAGGCTGTGATTTCTGATGGGAGCAGACAGAGGACTTTGGGGGTCAAGCACACATGGGTTTCTTGAAACTTCACAGCATAACCCAGCACAGAGAGAGGCCAGAGCCAAGCCAAGGGAGTGAGCGAGGGAAGGGAGGCAGGAGCTCTACTTAATAGAACAAAGTGACCTTTAAAGCTACACCTGAGCTTTCTACCTAATCTGGAGTGCGGTTCTTGGGATAATTACCCAGGATCCTTCCTCTGCTCTGAGAAGGCTCATTAGGAATTAGTCACAGGGCTGCAGCAGGTAATGGATCGTGACCGAGTCCCCTCTGATCTGATTAGCAGCCGAGCATGAGCTGCTGACAGAAATCCATGTTCCTGCCTTGGTGTCACTCAGCTCTGAGCCTGGCTCAATAAAAGAGCAGCTTCTTCATGACAGGGAGAGTTTCTGTTCCTGTACTTGCTGCTGCCTGGCCCTGAGAGTTGTGGTTTCAAAGCCCCTTTAGGGGATTTAGGGGCTGGGACGTGGCACTCAGTGCTCGGGTCTGGGTGACAAGGTGGTGACGGGTCAAAGGTTGGACTTGATGAGCTTGGAGGTCTTTTCCAACCTAAATGATTCCACAGTTCTGTGAAGCAAAGCTAAGTTACCTTTGTGCCTGCACACAGGGTTTGGGAAGCTGAGCCAGCCTGGAGTTTCCAGGGGAGGGGGATGTTTGGTTCTGTACCTGTGGCTGCTGGGACAGCAATAATCCCTAATTTGTAAAACACTATCCATGTGAACCCAGCACGTTGGTACATGCACTGGGGTGTATATCTGCAATATTTATCACAGAGCACAGAAGGTTTCCCTTTTTCCTATCCCTTCCTGGAGCAGAATCCCTGTCCCATGTGTGGGGAGGGCTGTGTGGTGATGCAGCCTCCCAACACGGGACTGAGGAATCCTGTTTTGGGCCAGGATCTCACAGGTGACTCCAGCTGTTTGCACTTTGTATCCTCCTGTCCCTGCCACCAGCAGGAAACCATCCCTTCACCTTCCTCCACCTCCAGTATGGATGATCCATGAGCTGCCTGGAAAAGGAGACCACCAGAGCGTGGGAGGGGAGGATTCCAGCAGCTCTACAACAGGCTGGTGGGAAATGGGAATTTGTGATCCCAGGACAAGTGTCCTAGTCTGAAATAGGAAAATTTGTGGGAGAAAAAAGGAATATTTTCAAAAGTCTCAGGAAATTAAAGTTCCAGAGACATCCCCTGCCATATCAATGCTGTTACTGACAGTCTGTGTCAATACTGGAGCATAGCACTGTTCAGTGAGGTAAAATACTTCTGTGCTATTCTAAACTTTGCAACATTAAGCAGGAAATATTGCATATTAGGTAATTTCTTACATCAAATATGGTAATATAATACGGTACATAATATATAATGTTATGTACAATAATTATACAATATCAAATATATTGTATTAGCATATTTAATATTATGTTACAAAGTATGTGTAAATACCATATATATTATACATACACAAAAATATACATAGATATATATTATATATCTTTATAATATATATGGTAATATAATATTAGAATTTACATTACAATTGCTATTAAAGCTTTTGCCAAGATGGGCAGAACAGTAATGACAACATGAAACATTTCAGCTTTGCAGTGAAGCGAGATGAGGAAGTATGAAAAAATACATTTAGAAAGTCAAAAGTGCTTTTGGAGTCAACACTCTCTCACAAAATGCTTCAATGAAACTGCATTTTCAACAGAGAACTCTTCTGTGGAAAATGTTTCAAATAGCTCTAATTTAGAGCTGGGGAAATTTACCTCTTTTAATGCAGGAAGCCTTTTATATACAGTCTAAAGGCAAACATCTCTCTCTAATAGTTTTTCTAGGTGAATTAAGGACATGTTCCCTTGTCAGACACTTCATATTCTGCCTGTAGTTATCTAAGACAAACCTATACCAAATCTGTGCTGCTCTTAATTTCAAAAGAGGAACTTTTTGCTTTACAGACTGGCAGAATTCCTCCTGAACAACACCTTCAAAACTAAGAGATTCTGCCTAATACTGATCACCATCAAACTTCTCTGCTGCATGTATTATCAGCTCCTGAGCCTCTGCTGGGGATGAGCCCATTCCTTGTGCCCCTGGCTTGGATTGAGGGATTCTCCCCATGAAAATGGTCCAGTATCTCAGTCATTAAGAACAGGTTGACCCACTGCTTGGCTGCTGACATGAGGTTGCTTTAACAGTAGGCAAGGCTGAAAGATTAAGGGTTGGACCCGATGATCTCGGAGGTCTTTTCCAACCCAGTTGATTCTATGATTCTATGACTAAATAATTTTTTTTAGCATTTGCAATATTCAAAGAAATTTCTTGGACAACAAACCAGCATTTTGGGGTGGTTTATTAAGGCCATGGCTGACAGAGGGCTTTCCCAGCTGGCTGGCTGCAAGCTGCTCTATGGGGCTGGTGTGCTGTCATAATCCTTGGGGCTGCATCTCTCCTGCTTTACAGGTGGCAACTGAAACACCCAGAGCAGTGATCTGGAAAGATTAATTCTACCTGTGCTTTACTGACAACCAGAATCCACTAAATTTCAGCAACATTTAGTCACTGGGCATGGTAGGGAAATATATACCAACACTGAGGGTACCAGGACTGAGGGAGATGCTGCTGCCTCAGTACTTGTAAAATATCTTGCTAAGATCTAGTCACTGGGATGCTCCCCACTAAACCAAAAATATCGATATGAATCTGCCCTTGTCTGGCTGTGATGAGAAATGTGTGAATATTTATGTATATGTATAAAAATATAGATGGGAAAAGCTGCATGGCTGTATTTCCCAACACTGATTTCTTCCACGAGGAAATTCCTGGCTGGAAGATCTGAGCCACATGTAATCCTTACAGCATGTTTGTGGTTTTAAAGTCAGGGTTTTGTGTTTGGACCATGAACACTTGTGTTCCAATGAGTAGCTGGATTTGGCTGTCACTTGTGTAAGAACATATCTGAGCATGAGCTGTGTGTTAATGCTCCAGGTAACTGTGGATTCCAGCAAAACTGCTTCCCTGATTAAGTTAAGCATTTATATAAGTGCTTTGTTGAACTGGTGCTAAGTGTACAGGGCTCTGATTACCTCTTAAACACGAGATTATTTCTTACAAGAGGAGGTTATTCTGGAAATGTTGGGGTTTTTTTTCTTTTTTTTTTAGAAACCGGGAGTTTTATAGGCAAAAAGCAAGCATCCACATAGGATGGGACCACTTTATGTTTCGGAGATTACAGGGTATTTCAGATGCACAGTGGATGTTCCTTGCAATGGGAAATGCTTTCCCTGAAATTTTAGTTGTTTTTTTCCACCCTATTCCCTCAAAAAAAAAAAAGAAAAAAAAAAAAAAGTCTCCAAAGCCAGGATCATTTCTAGTTGGAACCAAACAGCTTGCTTGTCATGTTGTTATCAAAGTTAAAATTCAAAGAAAAAATTTGAGAACTGAAGAGCCTGAGGTCATTTGGTCATATTTGAATGGTGAGGCCAGAGCAGGTTGCTCCTCTGGGAAACAGAGTGGAAAAATGTATTCATGGGACTTGGACCATGAATAAAGAGTCAGTGCACATCAAGAAGTCCAGCTCCCCTCTCCTGTGAGCTTGAAAGCTCAGTGAGTACAGCATCCTTCAGGCTCTCCAAGCCCCTTTTGTGGATCAGTTCTCCAATAGCTCCTTCCATCCTGAAGGAAAGTTTTGCATCCTGGCAGGTGGGACCATCTCTAATGTCAGTATGAAGGTTTGACAAGGGGCCATCCCTCTCTTTGAACATTTCCAGGGATGGGGCAGCCACAGCTTCTCTGGGCAACCTGTGCCAGGGCCTCCCCACCCTCACAGGGAAGACTTTCTTCTGCATATCCAATCTAAACCTACTCTCTTTTGGTTTAAAGCCACTCCACCTTGTCATATCACTAAAATCCCCAAAAGAAGCTGATCTTCAGGACTTCCTGAAGACAATAGGAAGAAAGATGAGCTTCTTTCTGAGAAACATCTCAGAAAAGACCAAGGGGACCTCAAAATGCTGATCTTCCTTCGGCCAGTTTTGAGGTGTTTGCAGGGATGCTGTAGACAGGTCAGCTCTTTGTTCCCTCCTGTCCCAAATACCACCATAGGAAAGGCAGCAGGATCTGTGCAGACATAGTGCCTCCAAAGGCCAGGGCTTGAAATCCATCCCTGTGTCAGTGTCACAAACATCTTCCCCAGCTGGAGGCAGCTCCATGCTCATCCTGCCCAGCAGCTGCCACTGCTGCACGCTCGGCTGCCGATGGGGTCGGACAGAGGGGCAGCTCGGTGCCACCAGGCATGGTGCTCCCAGAGCCCAGGGGGAGAGGAAACAGAGGTCCCCATGTGCATTCCACAGCCTCCTGATCCTCCCAAAATCTGCTCTTCCACTGGGACCTCATCAAGGCCGAGGTGTCTCTCTGGATACAAAAGCAAAAGGGTAATGGGACTCTCGGGGTCACTGCCCGCTGCTTTCCTCTTGTCTGAGGCGAACATGGCCCATCAGAGACGGGCTTGAGCTCCTGAAAGGGGTCACAGCCCTTTTTGCCACTCCTGCACACTCTCATCCCCTGAATTATCGTGTGATTTCCCTTCCACTCCACTGAGCTGTCAGCCATGGATACGGTAATTCAGCACAGCAGAAACACAAACAGATGGGTAATTGACCCTCGTGCCTTCGTTACTCTGGAGTTCAGTGCTGCTGTTCAGGCCGTAAACTCCTTTAGCTGCCACTCCAAAAATCCCTGGGCCCTTCACAAGGAAGCGAGCAGGCCAGGCTCGGAGTTATTGTCATCTGCCTCGTGCACCACAGACGCTGACAGAGTCTGACAAGCAGGACTTGCCAGGTAGAAGGAAACAGCTGTGAATCCTCAGGGAGATCCGTAGGGAGCCTAGAGGAGGACAGGATGGAAAAACATGTACACTGCACACAGGGTGAACACTTAAACTGTTATTATGCCCTCTGATATCTGAGCAAGGTTACACTCACACTAAAGCCTGCGCAGATGGACGGGTACACAAACACTGGCAGTGGAAAAAGGGATGCGGGGATAGATCTGCCTGCTAATGTAAATCTTCAGAGCACCGCTGAAATCACTGGCACTAAATCCATTTGCACTTTTATAGGATTTGGCAAGTAGCCCTCCTAGCAGGGAGCGAGCTGCAAAGGCTCAGGTGGCCAGCTCCTGTATTTATGCTGTGAGAGCTGGGCACTTAACTCTGCAAGGGTCTTTTATAAATCCCTCCCTGTGTTATTTTCCTTTCTTCTGTTTTCCATTCCTTCTTATTTTCTTTTTCAGTGTGTAGTTTCCTTGTTTCGGTGGTACCAAACCCATTTAGTCTCTCTCAAAACAGGTCAGAACTGCATAGTGTTCGTCCCCTCTCAACTAGCAGTTGGCTTCAGGGGATAAAAGATCTTTGCTTTCACAGGCTTTGTATTGTACTGGGATCTGGGAATGGGATGAAAGGAGTAGACTGGTTGTTGAGGAGGGAGAAGTTACTTGTCTCCCTGTTCTCAGCTAACTCACTTCTTGCACTGGAAACATTCAATTTGTACCCCATCTTCATTACTCATTAACAGTTCCAAGAGAAATACCACTTTTGAAACGAAGAACAAACACCTGAAACGACTTTTTGATTTGCTTTTTTCACCCCCCGCATCCCTCTCATTTCCCTGCCAGGTCTCCAGATCATCTTCCCTCAGTATTTACAAGAGAAGTTTGTCCAGTCTGCCTTGAGTTACATCATGTGCAACGGGGAGGGCGAGTACATCTGCCGGGACAGCCAGTGCGGCTGCCAGTGCTCCGAGGAGTTCCCCCAGTGCAACTGCCCCATCACTGACATCCAGATCATGGAGTACACCCTGGCAAACATGGCCAAGACCTGGACAGAAGCCTATAAAGATCTGGAGAATTCAGGTAACCGAGCAAAGTTCATTTTCCGGTTAATTTATTGCAAAGAAAATGTGTCAGATTATGCCATGGAAGAATCTCTCTCTCTTTCTCTCTTTCTCTTATATTCTCTCAGTATAATGCTCCAGTTTGGATAAGAAAAATAGATGATATTGAACCCAAACCCACCATCTTAGTCTTAAGGGAATACCTTTTAAACACATGCACAGACAAGACCACACAGGGATATTTTCTGTGGAACTGTTTGATTAAAAATCTTTTTTGTCATACCAAACCATCTCTGGATCTCTCTTTTAATAGTTCTACAGAGAAACTTCCACAGTATAAATGATGCAGAAATTGCTTTTCAGATTTGCATGAATGATTTATTCTGCTTTGGTGAAAGGCAATTCAGAGGGAGAACGCACCGGCCAGATGACACCGCTTTTGGGACAGAGAGGAGAAGGGAAAATGACTTCTCTCTCCTACAGGGTTGATATCTGCTGGTGGGAATATTTCTCTTCTCTCTTTACTTTCTCCCAGGGTGAGGCTGGGGGTGTCAGCAGAGTTTGTTCCACGTTGATGCTGGTGGTGGTAGTAGTTGAGCCATAGTAGTGCTGTGGTACTTGTGGGATGCTCACCCTCTAGAGCTTGAGATAAGAGCAACATTATCAGTCAATTGTATGCTTTCCCTCAGCAAGTGATCTGACTACCATGAAGCCACACAGGACAAAGCAGAACTTCATCAAGAACTTGTCCCAGTGCTGACTCTCATCCCTTAGTGTTAGCCAGTTCCTTTCCAACACGTTTTCATTAATGTGTTTTGTCATAATGATTATTGTCATAACTGTCCAAGTATCCATGTCAGGAAAGAAAACTGTGAGGAAAGGACCATCTACCTCAACTCAGGGCACTGAAGAATTCTTCTTCATGAATTCTCATAGCAGCAATTTCTTTCTTCATCTTGGAGGTCCTTTTAATCCCTTTAATGGTTGGAATGGAGCAGGCTATGATGTTTTCAACATGTGGACCCTGCTGGTGTTTCTGCTGCTGCACAGATTCCTGTGTCCCACTCATGCTGCCAACTTGGTGCCCAGCTGGGTAGTCAGAGTTGTAGTTCATGGCTCCAGGGTGATGACCATGTACTCTGGGGAGCACAGGGCTGGGGCAGTCCCAGAGGCAGGGCATGACCTGAAGAAGTCAGATATTTTCTGCAGGTTTCTATGGGTTCATGGATGGGGTGGCACACTAGAAATGTGGATTTCAGAACCTTCTGCCAGCTCAATCCTACACAAGTCAGAATTACTGGCAGTAGCTGCCAGCACAGCTCTGCCACTGGTTACGTGGTTACCAGTTGTTCGTTCTGGCACAGGATCTTCCCACAAGATGCTCAAGAGCCTCAGGTTGGCCACCACCCGTCAACCCCTTCACCTTCCAGGTGTAACCCAGGCACTGAGAAGGTGAGAGCCCTATGGAGGGAGGAGTTACACCCCACTATGACCCCTTCACTGTGACATTCTGTCCTTGTTGCACTCGATCCAAAGCAAAGACTGGGGTAGATAATTATATTCAGTCTCCCTCCTCTTGAGATTTCAAGGGGGGAAAGTGTTTTTCATTTGCCAGGTTAAAGCAACACATTGCAGTGATATTTCTGCTGTAGCCATATTCCACCCAGGGCTGGAGGCTTTGCAGGGCTAGATGGAGTGATTATCTTTATGACTAAAGCTGCTGCATCTCATTCATCACTTTGTTGCCTCATGCGTGAACTTATTCTCTGAGATGAAAGTTGCTATCAAAAAAGACTGTAGTATTAGTGTTTTGCTTCTTTGTTTTAATAAATATTCCCAATAACTAGAGGATTTGCTTCATTATGAACAGCAGAGGAGAAATCTCTGATGACATCTGAAGGCTTTTCCAATAAAGTGGACTGAAAGGCACACGAGTGCTCTGAAAGCAAATA